GGTTGTGGAATCTCCATGTCTGGAGATATTTAAGAGTAGGTTAGATAAATGTCTATCAGGGATGGTCTAGACAGTATTTGGTCCTGCCAGTCCTGCCAGGGATTCGAGGTCCCTTCCAGTCCTAGAATCTATGAATCTACCTCTCCTGGTCAAATGCAATGAAAGCAACTTATAACTTCAGTATATTTTAGTTTCCTACAATTGGCTTACGCTCTAATAGGTTTCTTTCTCCTTAAGAGGCTCCTCCATGTGGAGGACTTTTATTTCTTTTACACTCAACAAATCTGAAATAAAACCTTTAAAATCTTGTGTAATGACTTTTTATATGAAGAAACTCTGCAGAGTACTAACTGTTCGGTGCATGGTTTTAGGTACCTGGAAGGCGAAGTGAAGGGTGTCTCTGCAGCAGCTGTGCTAACATCTGGAGCAATTGCAGTGTGGGACTTATTTTCAGGCCAATGTACTGCTCTACTTCCACCAAACAAGGATGGGAATTGGTCTTTGGTCAGGTGGTCAGTCACAGATTCCTGTCTCCTGGCTGGACAGAAAGACGGAAGCGTGTATGTGTACCATTATTCACAAGCCAAGGCAGTAGGGAAGTCAATGGGTAATACGATGGATTCTGAAACGAACAGGAGAATTTGCACTGATAATCTAAAGTAAATTGAGCTGGATAGGATCTTGTGTTGAAGAAAGATTCCTCAGGTTCATCTGTTCACTTTCCCACAAGTAAACTGTTTTTTTCCCACTTTAAGTCAGGTTCACAAGGTCTGTGAGATGATGCTGGTCAACCTGGCTGACTTTGAATGTGTCTTGTCTTGCTCACTAGATCTGTGAAGCCAATGGCACTGTTTAACAGTGATTAGCTAGATCTACCCGTTTGCATTCAGGGTTTGTATATTTCATTGTGAAAAGCACTTTCAGTGGATTATCTAGATGTAAGATGCTATTAAACTTTATTTTTGTAAACTCTGCCGTGCTTCTAGCTGAAGTGATTTTTGTGTCGCTAATTTCCTTAGTAAAAAATTTATTTCAGCAATTGTGGACAGTGATATATTCCGTGATCTCAACATAGCTAGCGCTAGGTCATTCTGCATTGATGAGAACAGCAGGAGAGAACCTCTGCCATCCAGCCATAGTCCAATCCTGCCCAGTCAAGCCACTGTGAAAGAACACCTCCATCCTGCTGCCTTCAGGTGTAGGAATAGTCTTTTGCTTCTCGTGCATTGGGTTCAGCTGCAGCTCAGATTTTGGTGATGGCTTTCTCGCTATCTCTAGCAACTGTTTGGTGGCTGTAGGACATTGGTTGGTGCCCAAGTGCAGTCTCCATTGGGCAGGTGTCCACGTCACAACTAATCGGCCCTCTTGTGGTAATTTAGAGACACCTCCCCCCCCCGGTGTCACAATTCCTGAATTGGGACACCTCTGCCCCCCTCGTGGCCTCCTTCTGGGCACCTCACTTAGGTCTCAGGCCTATAACTATCACCATTCTCAGGGTGGAATTTTGTGATTCACTCCCTCCAGACCCTGGCATCTTAGACTGCAGACTTCTGTGATTCACTGATCCTCTCAGCAGGTCTGACTTCAGCTCAGCTCTTGCAGTTAATGACAAGGTTATTCAGTGACCAGCCAGGTCTCATAAAGCAAAGTACTATATTTATCCAGAACAAAAGTGTTTCAGAGGAACCATATCTTAAAAGCAATAAACTATGTATACACACCACTGGTGTAACAGGTAACCATCTTCCACTGGGAGACCCTGGCAGGTTTGAAAGAACTTCAGGTCCTCCAACAGGGCCTGTTTCTGGTCACCATCTCATGTCTGTCAGTCCTCGGATGGAGTGCCACTGGAGCCCTCCTCAGGTCAAGGCTGATATTTTATGCAGTTTTAAGTCCTTTGTCTTTTGAAACCTCTTGAACTAGGTCAAACCTGCCTATGCTATTTCCCCGGGGGGCAAAGCTTGCTACCTGCATTGGTTTGGTATTGGGGATTTGCACTGATTACTCCCCTCCCTTAGTGTCTTTAGTTCCTGAAGGAAACAATCTTTAGTTCACCCATTAAGCCAGGAATACAATCACTAACAAGCCCATAAATAGATATAGAACATTCATAAAGTTAATACAATCAGTAGTCTTTGAGTAGTGAATGATTCCACCAGGCTCTTGCCTCTCTGGGCAAGCTCTGAGTAGTAGCAGGGCCCTGGCTGTTTTGTGCAGGCCCAATCCAGCAGGTGTTCTCAGAGGCTGCCCACGGATTGGACCCTGCAGGTGAGATAAGTGGAGGATTGCCTAGTTTGAGGCGCCTGTGTCAAGGATTTAGTGGCATTAGGGGTATGCTGCAGTTATGCCACTGTAGTATAGACACTTCCTTTTATCAACAAATGGGGTTTTTCCATCAGTGTAGCTAATCCACGTCTCTGAGAGGCAGTAGGTTAGAAGAATTCTTCCATTGACCTAGCCACATCTACAGTGGGGGTTAGGGTGACCTGACTATGGTGCACAACAGGGCATGACATTTTTTACAGCCCTGGATGACGTAGCTCAACTGACCTAAGTCAGTGGCGCTCAAACTTTCCAGATGACTGATTTGTGTTGCGTACCCGCAAGTTTCACCTCACTTAAAAACTATGTGCTTACAAAATCAGACATTTTAACATATAAAAGTGTCACTACACACTATTACTGAAAAATTGATTACTTTCTCATTTTTACTCTATAATTACAAAATAAATCAATTGGACTATAAATATTTTACTTACATTTCAGTGTATCGTATAAAGAGCAGTTAAGTTGTATGAAATTTTAGTTTGTACTGACTTTGCTAGGCTTTTTATGTAGCCTGTTGTAAAACTAGGCAAAGATCTAGATGAGTTGATGTACCCCCTGGCTGACTTCTGCGTACCCCCAGGGGTACATGTATTCCTGTTTGAGAACCACTGCCCCAGGAGTGGATTTACCATGAAACAAACCATGCGGTGGCACGGGGGCCCCCAAAATGCAGGACAAATATCTGACAACCTGCCCCTGAGTCCTGGCTGGTGGTGCAGCAGGGCTCAGCTAGACAGGCTACCTGCATGCCGTGGTCAGTAGCCCCACACCGCTCCCAGAAGTGGATGGCTGCTGGCACGTCTCTGTGCCCCTGGTGGGGGGGGGGGGAGGGGATGGGGAGGCGACTCCGTGTGCTGCCCCACCCCGGGCAGCGCATGGAGACCCGCTGTCCCCCTCACCCCAAGGGGCATGCAGAGATGTGTCAGCAGCAGGGCTAAAACAGATCCCTGCCCGCTCTGCCTCACTCCTGGAAGCGGCCAGCATGTCCCTGCGGCCCCTGGGGTGTGTGTGGGGAGGGTGTGTCTCTACACTGCCCCTGCCCCGAGCGCTGACTGCAGCTCCCATTGCCCCCCCTCCCCTGCCCGCCTAGGAGCCACTGCCGGAGGTGTGTGTGTGCTGGTCGCTTTGGGAGCCGCGCTGCTTGAGATAAGTGCCACTCACTGTCCCCATCCTGCACTCCAACCCCCGACCCAGAGCCTGCACCCCGCACCCGAACTTCCTCCCAGAGCTCTCACCCCTCCCAATCCACTGCCCCAGCCCAGAGTCCACACCCAGCACCCTAATTTCCTCCCAGATCCTGGCCCCCGCATCCCCTCCTGCACCCCAACCCCCTGCCCCAATCAAGGTACCTCACTTTATTTTCATTTACTTCCCATTATTTATAATATAGGAGGAGGATGAAGAAAAAAAATGAAAAGGTGTGTGTGGGGGGGAGATAAGAGATGTTCTTGGCTGGGTCATGTGCTATAATATATATTCTTCTTACTCTATTTTTCACTCCATGCATCTGATGAAGTGGGCTGTAGCCCACGAAAGCTTATGCCCAAATAAATGTTAGTCTCTAAGGTGCCACAAGGACTCTTCGTTGTTTTTGCAGATACAGACTAACACAGCTACCACTCTGAAACCTAATCTCTTTGTGGATCTAACACTGTAGCTGATTCTGATGATGCTTTTAACTGGTGGCCAAACTGTGCCCCACTCCTCACTCCAGAGGTGCATGGGGCAGAGGCTACGGGTGCTCTTAGAAACACTTATCTGGGCTGGGGCTTGTCGCACCAACGCAAACCCCTGCAGTAGCTGGGCAGTGCTAGGGGGGCCGGTGTGAAACTCCCCAGTGTGGGCAGGATGCAGT